ACTCTTTGTATTGCACTGGAGTCTTATAGAACTCCCTCCCAATATGTACTGACATGATATAGAGTACCTGATATAAACAGCATCCTTCTGAGGAACAGCATGTTTTATCACCCTCTGTATCGGAGATGGGAAATTTGATGCCCCAAATGAAATCCCATCCTTCACCATGGCAGCTCCAGCATACAGTAGATACTTAGTGAATGAAAAAAGACATTTCCAAATTTAAAATATAGTTGTCCTGCACACCTAGGGATATTTCCGGAAATCTAGTTCCAGGATATTACTACAACCACCCAGTCACTGCCAACTCACCAACAGTGCTAAAGGAACCAACCTTTTGAAGTTAGAAAAGACCAGAGGAGGCCTTACCTGAGAGAGGTTTAAAAGTTCAGGCAGCCTTTTTTTTTTTTTAAACATTTTATTTATTTATTTGAGAGAGAGAGATAAAGATAGCAACAGAGAGCACAAGCAAGAAGACCAAGCATGAGTGGGGAGGAGAGGGAGAAGTAGGCTCCCTGCTGAGCAGGGAGCCCCATGCGGGGCTTGATCCCAGGACTCTGGGATCATGACCTGAGCTGAAGGCAGACACTTAACTGACTGACCACTCAGGCACCCCAAGTTCAGGCAGTTTTAAACACAAAAATTTGGCTTTGTTATGAAGCAGGGTCAAGTTTCTAAAAGAAGTTAAATAGTCTCTGATAGTTTGCTATCTGAAATTGTATCCGAGTGTGCTGGAACCTCTCTGGACATGACGCTTGATTTCCCCTATGGAAGCAGCATTTAAAGCAACTCTCATTGCCCAGTGTCACATGATGCACCCAGCAGTTGCAGTTGAATCGGGTTTAAAATTGCCTGTTCACAGGCTCAAGGAAGCCTAAGCCTTGGCAGATGCCAAAAGGCATCGGAAGGAGAAATGGCCATCGTTTATCTGTGTTGTTGTAAGGGCCATGGAGGGGGAGTAAGTGGGAAATTGATGGAGGACAGACAGGGAAACATTTTCCACTGCCCTGAAGCAATTAGTTGAAAATGTGCTGTAAACCAATGGGCTCTTCCTGCTCCTGGGGGTTGGGGGAGATCAGGGAAAGGGGGCTGGAAGAGCCTACTCCTTCCTGGGGACACTCTTTGAAATTCCATTCCCAGCCCCTGGGGCTCCACTGTCACCTAGTTGAGGCATTTTCCCCTCTGAGATGGGGAAGCCCACCACTTGGCTCTCACTTAAAAAACAGATCTTGAATTAGAGGAGCATTTTTAATGAGATATTGTAGACCTTTTAAAAATCCCTACTAGGTTATGTGTTTTGATAGTATTTACTGAGGAATGTATTCATTTTTATTTGAATAAATCTGGTTATATCCACTTTGTGACACTAAAGAGTTCATTAAAAAAAATAATAGATTAGTAAAGGAATGACATATAACTGTTACTTTTTACTTAGAATACCCCATCTATCTGAAAACTAATATGTGTAATCTTATCTTTCTGATTAAAAAAGTATGTAATTTTAAATTCTTTGGTGTTTAAAAGAGTGTGTTTTCCTTTGACAAGAGCCTATTATTAGCAAATAAACACACACAAAACATGTCACTTCTCACCAAGATGACATTCAAAGTTGTTCCCCTGGCGAAAAAAAAAAAAAAAAGGCAAACTGATAAACTATACTTTTGCTTGGGATCCCTAGCTCTCTCTCCCCGAGACTGCTCACATCTCATAGAGGCCCTTTATTGCCGGTGCAATGTTATACACGTAGGAAATGGATGCGTATGTACCTAGGGTATTTTTTTCGTTTGTTTTCTCTTCCAGCATTTGATCACTGGCTGGTGAACTGTTTGGGCCCACAGAGATCTCTAGACCACCAGCTCATGTATTTGAAAGGCATCTGTTTATTTTGAAAATGCAAATGTGGCCTACCTCAAAGACTGACAGGCAAGAAATGACCCACTGAGCAAGGGGAGAGGTTTCCAATCTGGAGCCCTGTCCCTCCCTCTATCAAACCGAGATCACTCGCTGTCAAAACCATTTAAACAAGCTCCAGGAATCTGAGTGAAGGGCCCACAATTAAAATGAACAGGCCTCTCTGTGTGTGTGCGTGCGTGTGTGTGTGTGTGTGTGTGTATCTCCTTCCCTCTCTCTTTCAGGAATTAGCCAGGCAGATCATTTCTCACCTAGTTTAAAGTAATGAGAGGTCAGTTACAAAAGGACTCCGCACCTTTGAAATGGTGGCTCCTAGACGGAGGGCTGCCTGGAGGAGGGACACTGGCCTCTTGGCAGTGGCAGCCCAGTCCTGGGGACGGATTCCCGGAGAAAGCCCAGGAAGGTTAATACCCCGACTTTGATCTCTGTCAAGGCATACCAGCAAGAATTAATTTACATTTCAGATGAAAAAGGTTGACAGCATGAAAAGGCATCTTGTTTCTGGTATGTGAACGTGCCGTAATAGATCGGGAATTCTGAAAGGAAGTTCTGAGGAAGCTAAAGGGATAAGCTGTGCGGCTGCTTTTATTGGGAAGGAGATGAAAGGAAAACAAATTTCAATATGTGCTGCTCTGTAGCAACATGTATGCCAAATGCTTCCTAAATTTCAAGGGCTGCTCTTTTAAAAATATATAACATATCTTAGCAACACCACTAAAAAAAAAAAAAAGGCAATGGGCCGGAACTTGAAATACAAAGAAATGCATTCCATAGAATCTAAATTTCAAGTGAAATGATTTGTTGAAAAAAAAAAATAAACGAGAGAATAAGTTTCGAAAACAATCAGAAATGATTGTACTAGGATAATATCTATAAGCCACTTCCTGCAGGCTCACAAGTAAGGGAACCGCTAGGTCTGGGGCTTGTTCTACTCAGAAACATCCTAGTGGTGTGAAGAAGAGCTTGTAATGAGAAGATTATGCTTTGGGAACAACACACCTGAAACAGAAGTTGGAATGAATTGCTTTGCTTTTTAGATAAACACAACCATGCCTTCCAATATAAAGATAAGGACAACATTCTCACGTAAAAGTAAACTGCCCAACACTACATCAAAAACTAATGATGTAATGTATGGTGATTAACATAACATAATAAAAAAAAAAAGTAAACTGCCCATACAATTGCAAATGCTGTTACCCTATCCAGGCATCTTTTCTGCCAGCACAACACCAGCACCTCACTTCCTGTCCGTGGTGTTGGGGTGAAGGGCAAAGAGACTCGGGCTGCTTTGCTCTGACTGCCACACTACTTGCAAGATGGAGAGGTGGAGTTAGTACCTGTTCTCATGTCCGCCCAAGCCCCTGTAGACTCAGTTAGTGGAAGTTCCCAGTGCCACTTGATAAGTAGGAACACTAGTGGCCGGGCTAAAAAAAAGGGGGGGGGGGTGCTTGCAGAGCTTAAAAAAAAAGAAGCACCTTGAAGACATGTGTTCTCTCCAGTTCCACAAAACAAAACTATCCTTCCATGGTACCTACCGCATGGGTGCTCTACCAAAAAGGTGCATTCACGACCGGCCTGATATGATGATGAAACAAACCTGTCTCTGTTTTCATGCAGCCCTCCCTCACTTGGCAATAACAGAGTGCTAACAGGGAACCCTCTAAAGATCATTTTCAGAGAGGGAAAATGTGATTTATGATCCTATATCCTGAACTCAGTGGATCAACAATATATAACCCAAAGTTTATATTTTAAAACATATGTTGGGCTTTGGGCCAAACTGCAAGATCAGAAATCAGTCCAGGAGACCGTGGGGAGGGGGGGGGGTGTGAGCACGCGTGTGTGCGTGTGCCGTGTGGTGTGGTGTGGTGTGTGGAGGTGGGCAAGGAAGGAACAAATACACCGTGAGTTGTCTTTCTTAAATTGCAACTAGAATTGGATCCTTCTTCCAATGAACTCTTTGAAGTTGTAGAGCTTAAAATTCCTAGGCGATGGTGTTAAAATTTACACATTTGCATCTCAATGACATCCCTTCCTTCCAAATATTTTGGTTCTGAATGAAGATGTCAGGTCTCTACAGTGGCCCAAGAGAGTTGGGAGAAGAGTTCCTGGAGCCAGGTTCTGGGCAGGGACAGCTTCAAAAAGGTTGCAGCTGTTTTATTTGAGTTTGCTTCAAGACAGCAATTTCTGAAATCCTATCTCTCTTCAGGCTTGTGGAGTCCGCAGGACTGGCCACTGCTCTCTCACTCTGTCTCCACATTTTACACTCTCGGAGCTCCAGGTGTGCTCTGGGGCCTACTTCTTCCAGGGCCTCACTTAGCATATAGGGCTTCCCATGATGAAGGGGACCCAGGCTGGCAGGCACCGTGGGTACTGCCATTTGCAGAAGAGCAGAGCCACCCAGGAGCCAGGGACCGGTCAGATGAGGCAGAAGCCAGAGCTCCAAGCACTCAGGCAGCCAGGCCCAAGCTCAGCCACAGCTTAACCCCTCGGGGCCCAGAGGACCACCTTAGCCACATACAGGCCAGGGTGTGGGAAATCCCATTTGCTGGGAAAGTCCCAGAGCTATTATTATCTCTGTGATGCTGAAAGATGGGTGTTGCATATGATCCAAGAATTCCAAGGTTGCCAGACACCTTCCAGACTTAACCAGACTTGGACCTGGCCTCCTGTTTCACAGATGACAGATGTGTGACTCCAAGAAGGAAAGGGATTTGTTCAGTTGGCGGTATATGAAGTTGACTTTATCCGACCTGCCTGTGTTCAAATGCTGACTCTGCTACTGACCAGCTGTGTGACCGTGGACAAGTTACTGCGCTTCTCTGTGCCACAGTTGCCCTCTCTATAAACTCAGGAATATTAGAGCACTTACTGAGAGTCTCCTTACACAAGTATGGCAAGCGGCAAATGCTCGCTGTCAGTCTTTTCATCATCACGCCGGGGGTGTGTCACAACAAGCACTAGAACCCCCACTAGAACTCGATTCCAGTGCTCCTGAATTATTCACCTCTCAGCTTTCTAAAATCATATGAACTCAATCACAGAATATTTTCAAGTGGATGCTATGAAAATGATGTTTTAATTACCTGCTTGAATAGGAACCGCAGACTCACTCCTTCTGTTGCTTATTTTCTTAAATTTCTTCCAAGCATCATATCCTCTCCAGGCTAAAAATACAAAACCATGTGCTAGGAATGATATTAATTTAAGAACTTGCCAGCGAATTGATATAAGCTGTTTTCCCTCCAATCTATTACCCCTCTTGCCCTCCCTCCTGCTTTCTCACTGAAGAAAATAAGCAGAGATACGTGAGCGATGATGGGGAAAAGGGGCCTCTCTGTACTCTTAGCTGGGCCTCCAAGATGCTTCTGAGAAGGAGTTATTTTTGTTCCGGCAGTGAGTTTCCAGAACACTCTGGATTCTACTTATGAATCACTGGGGACTTCTATCCCAGGTGAGGCTGTTCCCTGTCATTCTAATCCCTGGAGGAAGCTCTGTGTTCAGGACTTGGGAGTAGGGTGGTTTGTGGGGATGGTAGGAAAGAACTGGAATAGCCTGATCTGTTTGATTTTTTTATTTGGGAGGAAGGTATGAACATGAAATTTGAAGGAGTGAAAAATAAAGAAGGGAGTCAGGGTGCCTGGGTGGCTCAGTCGGTTAAGCATCTGCCTTGGGCTTGGGTATGATCCCAGGGTCCTGGGATCGAGTCCCACATCTCACTCCCTGCTCAGTGGGGAGCCTGCATCTCCCTCTGCTTGCCATCCCCCCTGCTTGTGCACTCTCTCTCTCTCACTCTGTCAAATAAAATAAATAATAAAAAATAAAGAAGGGAGTCATGGGGGATAATTAGTAGCACAACACCTGCATTTGGTAAGGGTGAACCATGTGCCAAGAACTGTGCTTCGGGAGAAGGAAATGATGCAATAGTAAGGCAGAAGGCAAGGAAAATGGAGAAGGAGAGGAGAAAGAGAAATCTCTGGGGGTGTGCTGAGTCCTACAGACAGTGGACTGGGACATTAAGCTGCCCACCAGGAGCATGACCACTTCACCTTTTTGTCCTTCCCATTAGCATCACAGCTCCCCATGTTGCTGAGTGCGGTCATGAAGTCCAGAGCGGACAATGGGATTCTGGGTTATGAGAGCACAAAGGAAATTGTCCACTATGTTCAAGACTGATGCTTTCATAACCACTCATCAACAGCACAGAAGCTCAGATGCTGTTTGTAACACAAATGACACCCACATGTGCAAAGAGACACTGCATGGGCTGGGCATATGAGAGAGCCTGGTGATTTGCTCCCTTGGTTTATAAGCTCTGTCTGTGCTAGAAAAGCCTTCCTGAAAGGGCATTAGTAATTCTGATGCTGAGAACTTGGTGATGGGCCTGGGGTGTATATTATATCAGTCATCTGGGAAAAGGGGCACAGGTCTGTGTGATTTGGGTTTTCCCTCTGCCCACTTCACACTCCCTCTACCGTGCTGCTCACCACAGTGTGTTGTGATGGCTTGTTTGCTTATGTGGAGGTCAGAGGGACCATGGTAGTCTTGCTCATGGCTAGATTCCCAGCATCTAGCCCAGGGCCTACAATAGGCACTCAATAAATATTTGCTGAAGCAAGGAAGAAAGGAAGGAAGAAGGGAAGGAAGGGTAGAAGAAGAAAAGAAGCCACTGAGAAAAGCAACAGATGAGTGGCCCCAGTACTTGATGAAATGCCAAGATTCAGGACCGTTTACCTGATTGAATGGCAATCGCCGCCTTCTCTTTCCTCTCTCTGATTCTTTTGTATCTCCTGGCTCCAAGCCACCCCTTGGCATATGCCTGCAGCACAACCACTCTGCCTATGACTTCTTGCAGCAACAAATTTAACTGCTCGACATGGTAATATTTGAGAAAAACCTGAAATGAGATATTAGTTTTAGCATTACATATGGGCTCCCAAACAGAGGGTCAGTCTACTCCAGAGTATTCTTTTTTTTTTTTTAAGATTTTTTTTTATTTGACAGAGAGAGAGGGAACATAAGCAGGGGGAGTGGGAGAGGGAGAAGCAGGCTTCCCGCTGAGCAGGGAGCCTGATATGGGGCTTGATCCCAGGACTCTGGGACCATGACCTGAGCCGAAGGCAGACGCTTAACCAACTGAGCCGCCCAGGCGCCCTGACTCCAGAGAATTCTTATTAAAAACATTAAAACCGTTATCTACATAAAGTTTACAGTGACTTCTTTTATGCTAGCATTACTGACTTCTTGGGAGCAAACACAATACCCCTTCTAAGGTTAAGCCAATCCTTGATTACTGATACAAACAGATGATGAGGTTAATGGGATTTAGGAGATCCCAAATGTTCTCCAAGTCTGCTTTATAGCTGCCAGGAGTTCTGTTTTCTTAATTTGATTTCTACTATCTATCTCCACAGCCTTTGATGGAGGCACTAACCAACAGAACTGATCCACAGCCAACGATGGAAGTTCAGAAGGAGAACGACCTAAATGATCCACAGTGATCTAATTTCTGCTGAGGAGCAACCGTGTTGCCATCCACACTCAGACTAAGACTGGCTTTGTACGGCAATTCAGAAGGGATCATAAAAACCTGGGTCAGGGATGGGATGTTCCCTAAATGAAGAGCTATACACGATGAGACTACTAATCAGGGTACATAGTAAAAAACACATGAGTCTAATGAAAAATGGACAAAACTGTAAAAGATGCTCATTCTTGTCATTAATAAGATTTGTGTATTTCCATGAGGTGCTGTAATAAGCAACATTTTAAAAGGGACATTTTAAAATAAACTCAAAGTTCTCATTCTAGAAATGCTAAGTGGTTCTCTCAAACTACATGCAGAATAGGAGGGAACCCTCCTCTTTTTGTCCAGAGGTCCTAGGACTCCTGACCCAAGACCAGCAAAGATCAGTGTTAGGCTGGGGTCTTGTCTGCTAAGCCACACAACTTACAGAGCCATTCATATCACTGACAAGAGACAAAGATACACAGTAGAGCATCACAGGTGACAATATGAACAAAAAAGAAAAAACTACCTTTGTTTTTCCCAGCACCCAGTGATCTAATCTGGATTTTTCCAAGATAGCAACACAGCTCTCTTTGCTGGCAAGAGGTGTTTCATGTGCTTTGAATGCCAAGTAATAATACCTACAAAATAAAAGAGTAAAATAAAACATTTTTAGTTATCATTTCATTGTATAGTGGATATGCTCTGGAACCACTGCCATGCCTTGTTTTTTAATAGTAAATATTTCTTGAGCACCAATATTAGCATACTAGGTAGTGAAAGGTATACAATTTATTAACTTGGCTCTTACTTACTTTTATATTTTCTGCTATGTGTATTTCCCTTTTAATATTGCTTTATAATTCATGTTCAATGAATATTTGGCATATTTTGCATGCAAAATCAAAGTATCTAATTCTTTAAGAAAACTGAAATTTAGACAGCCCTTCTAGTAAAAGTCATCATTTTATGTGTTAGCATTATTATAAAATAATTTGTAATCTCACTGTATAAATTTTGACTCTGCTTTGAAAAGTCCCCTCTGAAGCAATTTGTAGATAGCAAAAATGATCATAGCCTAATTACTACTGAATCAGTCTGCTGAGCTACATGTCCATCTCGAGGTACAGAGTAGGTATGGGGTTTTTTTTGTTGTTTTTTTAAAAGATTTTATTTATTTGAGAGAAAGAACACAAGTAGGGAGGAGGGGCAGAGGGTGAGGCAGAAGCAGACCCACTGGTGAGCGGGGAAGCCGATGCAGGCAGGGCTCCATGCCAAAACCCTGGGATCACGACCTAAGCTGAAGGCAGATGCTTAACCAACTGAGCCACCCAGGTGCCTGGTATATTTTTTTCTTAAAGATTTTATTTATTTATTCTGGGGGGGGG